ATTAGCTTGGCTGAGGATTGTGGCAGGATATGGTTAGATGATGGTATCATTATTACTCAAATCGCAGAGTCTACGATGTTAAAAGAATATCAAAACAATTTAAGAAATGAAGTTGAGATATTAAATAAGAATACAAAATGTAAAAATATTACGATTGAGTAATTAAACCTAACAATGATAATGCACTAATTTATGGGATATCATTTTACAACACAATAGGTTAAAGAAATCCATTTCTTCTTGGGAGGACATGATTGTTTGGGCATGCAATTCTTGGAAAGGCAATTCTCTTATTTCCACTATTTTAAAACTTGCTTGGTGTGCTAAAATCTACGTTTTGTGGGAGGAGCGTAATCGAAGAATCTTTCAAGGAAGATCAAGATCTATTGATGATCTTTTTATTTGCATCAAAGAATTTGTAGGTATTAAACTGAGGGGGGAAAAGATCAACATGTTTGATAGGGTTAATAATTTCCTATGTAATTCTTGGACAATACCAGAAGAGGCGTTCGCATAAGGCGTGGGCACGGCTTATTCATCCAGAGCTAACGCAGAAGAAGTCTTCAGTTAAGGCTTGGGCACGGCTTATTCATCCAGAACTAACGCAAAAGAAGTCTTCAGTTAAGGCGTGGGCACGATTTATCCATCCCGAGCTACTGTAAAAGAATCTCTACTTAAGGCGTGGGAACTTATTCACCCACATCTTTCGCAAAAAAAAAAATATTCAGTTATGGCGTGAGCACGCCATTTATCGGCTCAGTTTGAGTTTTTATCGGATCCAATTTTTCGGTATTCGTTTTTGGACTGGTTTTCGGTATATTATTGGATCGGATTGTAGCTATACACTTTTATTTGATTTGTAGCAGACTCTCTACTTCTTTGGGTAATAAAACTCAATTTATCAAAAAAAAAAAAAACAATGATAATGCAGCCTAGCTATAGTAACATTATTGGAACCATAACCGGCCCAGCAATTTGATAATGGTGAATTAGATGGTTCAACTTTTATTATACCTTTTATTCAGATATAGTTGGAGAAATATTTATATAAAGTGAATATATGCATGGTCAGGGTATTAGGGTGGTGACAATCCAACATTACGGCAGTGGTAGAGTCGTGGGTTTTTCTAACGATGTCGGCCCGAACCCTATTGGTTTTTTTTTAACTTTTTCTGATCCCAATAACTTGTACTAATACGGATAAAAAAATAATTTAATAAGTATATTATTTTCTCTATATTTAATCGAATAAAAAATTAAAAGGTTAAAAGAAGAACAAAATAAAAAGATTAAAATAACTTTTAATAATGAGATCGTTTAATGAATTCATTTTAAATTACAATAAATATCTTGATGTGCATGCTAAGTAATAGTAATACAGACGTACAAGATACTAAATTTCTTTAGCGATTGGCCAATAACTCCTGCACATGCAGTTTTCTCCTTGGTTCCAAACACAACGCCCCTCTTTATTATCAACCAACCACCATGATTTGTTTTGGTTAGATTGAAAGAAAATTTCATAAATGTAATGTTCTGCATTACCATACAGAGAGGAGATTCCTAAATGAGAAAAAAAAAAATCTGAGACCAACGATATGGAAATTAGTTAAAATATTCATTTGAACTAGTCTCATTTATTGAGTCTTCTCAACCGCCATCCTCCTCCTTCAAGACAGACCTCGTTCTTGCGATTTTCTTTCAGCTTATAAGGGCTAACTTGGTGCTCAAAGCTTCAATGCAGCAACCTCCCTTGTAAGCGAAAATGCATGCTTATTATTATTGCAGAAAGGTAGTTCTGTTTTTGGTGTTTGCATTTGCATCAATAAGCAGAGGGTATGCACAAGAATCAACCACTCTTGTCCCTGCAATCATAACATTCGGTGACTCCGTGGTGGATGTCGGCAACAATGACTATCTCCCCACCATCTTCAAGGCTAATTACCCTCCTTACGGACGGGACTTTGCCAACCACGAGCCGACCGGGAGGTTTTGCAATGGAAAATTAGCCACCGACATCACTGGTAAGTAGTAAGCATTAAGCAATGTACTAAAGTGTGAGTTTGGAATTGATATGTTCCAAAGTTTTACTGAAATTGATTCTTGCAGCTGAAACTCTGGGGTTTACAACTTTTCCACCGGCATACCTTAGCCCGGAAGCATCAGGGAAGAACCTTCTCATTGGAGCCAATTTTGCTTCAGCTGGCTCTGGCTATGATGACAAAGCTGCCATGATGAATGTAACATGTTAGCCTTATAGTCTGAAATCGACATTGAAGTGCCGTATAGTATATAACTATGAAGTTTCTGGTTTCCTGTGTGTTTGCAGCATGCTATCACATTGACCAGCAAGTAGAGTATTTCAAGGAATACCAAGCAAAGCTAGCAAAGGTAGCTGGAAGTAGCAAATCAGCCTCCATTATCAAGGATGCACTCTATGTATTGAGTGCCGGAAGCGGCGACTACTCCAGAACTATTATGTCAACCCTCTGCTTAACCATGCCTATACTCCGGACCAGTATGGCTCATTCCTCATCGACGCCTTCACAAGCTTCGTCAAGGTACCAACCAATACATAAACTATTAAAATGGGAATTGTTTATTTGATCAGTTTCAACCACTGAACCATATGATTGACAAACAGAACATGTATGGGTTGGGAGCTAGGAAAATTGGGGCCACCTCTCTTCCGCCGTTGGGTTGCGTTCCTTTAGCAAGAACATTGTTTGGATACCACGAGAAAGGATGCATCTCAAGGTTCAATACCGATGCTCAAAATTTCAACAAGAAGCTCAACTCCGCAGCAGCCAATCTCCAGAAACAGCATCCTGATCTTAAGATTGTGGTTTTCGACATCTTCAAGGCACTTTATGACATCGTTAAATCTCCTTCAAACTATGGTAAGGAACTTAAAAACTATTTAAAAAAAATGTTGAATGGATTTAGAGATGAATTTGGAGCATGTTTTGGCAGGTTTTGTTGAAGCAACAAAAGGGTGTTGTGGAACTGGGACGGTAGAGACGACCGAATTCTTGTGCAATCCTCACACACCGGGGACATGTGCCAATGCCTCTCAGTTTGTGTTTGGGACAGTGTCCATCCGTCTCAGGCTGCTAATCAAGTCCTTGCTGATGCTTTGATTGTTCAAGGCGTCGCCTCCTTTGATTCAATTGGGCCTTTGGGACAAATTATTCTTAAAGAATTTGAGACCATCTTCTCCATGCTTATAGAGGAAAATATTATTTAAATATTTATATAAAATATTCAATTATTTTGAGTATTGTGCTGTATGTTTCGATGTTATTAATTCTAAGGGAAATGTTATATGTGCCTCTTCACTTTCTAACATTATGGTTGATCTTATTTCATTGTTTTATTTGCTTTTAATCCAAAACAGATGTTATTTTGAGTATTGAGATTGGAAAGGAAGATTTTAATATTAGAAAAAATGTTTTAATTTAGTCTTAATGAATATTATAGATAAGATTAAATTAATTTTTTTAATATTAGAACTTTTCTTGACTTTAATACTCAAAATAGGGATGAGTCTAGAGTGAATGCCACATACCGATATGCACCACTAATGACATACATTGATGTGCACTACTAATATAAAATAGGGTAAAATTCATAAATGACTATTACATTTTTTAAAGATGATTTTATTTATCATTGTGTTTTTAAAAGTTACAAAATAGACATTAAACTTTAGATTTTATTAAAAATATGTATCGATTGTTAAATATTGTTAAGTGGGTGACGTAACATGCTAAATTAATAGGAAATATCTTATTTGATCATTCAATTATAACTAAAAACTTATTTTTAGTATTTTCCTCAATATTTCTAAGAAATAATTTCAAAAAATTAAAAAATCTTAATTTTTTATAAATGTATGAAAATTTTAAAATTAAAAAAATTATAATTTTCCGAATTTTCTTCATTCATCAAATAATTTTGTAACTAATTATTTATTTAATTATGATTATATTTGTAAAATTAAAATATTATAATTTTCGAGATCCAAAAATTTAACTATCATACAATGAAATTAATTTTTATTAAGCAACGCGATTCAAGCATTCAACATTGTTTAAACATAATTTAAAAATAATACATCCAAAAAATTATAATATCACATTAATTAAAAAAATACATCCAAACTTAAATAAAAACAATCGAGACACTCTTTAAGTTTTAATAATATATCAAGTAATTTATATGGTATAAATTAAATATTTATAATATAAAACTAAAAAATTAATATTTAATTTATTTATATCTATTTTATTTTCAATTTAACGAACCTAATATAAATTATTTTAATTAAAACTAATGGTAAAATGAAATTTTAGTTACAATTGAAGGATCAAATGAGATATTTTCTATTAATTTAGCATGACACATCACCCCTTTAACGGTAAATAATGGTATTGTGCCCATTTTGTAATAAAATTTAAAATTTAATCTCTATTATGTAATTTTTAAAAGTTCAGTGTCTAAAAAGATTATTTTAAAGTAATTTGATATCTATTTATGAATTTTACCCATAGTAGTGGTGAATTTCAATGTATGACAAGTATCGTAGAATTTTCATAAAAATAGATAAATAGGGTAGGTAGGTATGTAAGTAGACAAACAGAGAAACATACAGATAGATAGATAGATAGATCAAATTCTTATTTTATTTTTATTTTGGTATCCCAAGGTGTCCCAGGCTTCGCCTAAGACTAATCCTATGAGGTACTGTCGGGCACGAAAGGTGGGGATCTCTCTCAAGAAGGTTTTCTGCATCTACAAATGCTCGAACTTGAGACTACTTTTTGAAAGATTATGTAAAATATTTTGTAGTGTGACATAATTTAATCTATGTAAGGGTACACTGCCTATTTGTAGCGTGGTCACTTTTTATTAAAAAAGAGATCGTAATAAATGTTAAAGAGGAAGCAGAGATGAGTTTATTTGGAGAATTAGAAGTCTATTACAAGCTATTGCGTCAAACTAAAAATTACATAATGCTTGCTGCTCTATTGTGAATCTATCCTCCTTACTGTTTTAAAGCCCCTATTGTGAACCTTGATGGAGTTGGGGTTCTAGAGCAGCATCCCTGCCTGAACCCAATCTTCTATATCCATACAAACCCAGGTCACTGTTCCTTCTGAATTTATCAATGGCCTTGACTTGATCAACATCAAATGTGGTAGCAGATGAACTATGAGATGTAGTAAACCACCTATCACTCTTGCTTTGTAGCGTGTTTACAAAATCATTCCCACTACCTGAACTCCAAGTCGGAGAATCAGCAACGCTTTTCCTTGATAATGCAGAACCGTCTTTTCCCAGTATTAATCTCCCAAGTTTCTTTAAAAACCTGGTTTTTCCTGAGTTGGGGGTTTTCTTAGCAGAACCGTCTACTTGGCCGTTGTCGGTATCATAGAAGGCTTGCGAGCAAGACAAATGATCACTGTCAAAATCCATGCTATTCATCCCTCTATCCCATGTTCCTTCAGTGTGTGCATATTTAAGTATAAGCTTTTTGGCTTTCTCCTCCGACTCCGGACTTAGGCTTTTGCTTAGGTCTCTAGCAACTGTTTTACCAGGGCTGGGTGCTAAATTCCTCAGCTCGTACCGCAAGCAAGCGTTCACCCATTGGAGATGCACCAGTTCTTCGGCATCACTGCATCTGTCTTCCTGGAGCTGTTCAATTTGCTTCTTCAACTCTTCATTTTCTTGCCTCAGACGCTCTTGTGTTTTGTTTATTGCTTCTAACTGCAACCAAATCACCCGGAGTAAATCCAAGAACAAAAATATTAATAACAATATCATGGAAGAGGATTCAACACATGAACTGAGTACCTCAGGATCCTCCAAAACTGAATTTTCTAGGATTTGGGTTGATTCCAACTTCCGAGCCAGTTCAGTATTTTCTATCTGCAACCTTGTATTAGATTTCCTCAACTCTTCTGCCTCGCCTTCCAAAACCTTTAGCCTTTTAGAATTTGATTGGATATCATGATTATCCACGGGAGCCTTGAGTTCTTCCTCTTTTAATTTAGCAACCCTCTTTTGAACGTTTAGAATCTGCTCTCTATTCTGCTCAGCCTCTTTCCTAAGTTTCTTCTTAAGCACTTCAATTCTCGATTTAGTAGCCTGAAGCTCGACTGCGACTTTTGAATGATCGGCAACTTGGTTTTCTAATCTCTGGTTTTCCGACTGTAAGGACGCAATCTTGAGAGTGAAAGGCTTGGCCTCCATATTGTTTTTCTTCAGCTGGTTTTCGAGCTCCATAACCACTGCCTCTTGTTCTTTAAGGCTATAATATTCCAACAGCTGGGCCTCGAGATTCCTCTCCCTCTCGCGAAGCATTCTTACCATATTTCTAAGGCGCTTGATCTCTAGCTCATCGTCATCCTTTTCAACCGATATTTCTTCCTGTCAAAGAGGAACCAAAATAACACTTTCACGGAAATAGAATCAGCAGATTTTCCGTTTTACAGTTTTACGATCCATGGAATCATATAATCATATAATCATACTGTGAAACATCATTGTCACATTTAAACAACACGAGTGCCCTAAATGATTTATATTTTACTATCCAATGATACTTACAGGATCAGAAGCTGGTGCCATCCTTAAGTCCGAAGCATCGTCTTCACCGCAATCATCAGCCTCACTGCAACAATCTGTATAATCAAAACAACAACAAAGTTCACAACGCAATTAAATTAGTCAAAGCCGAAAAGAATAAACACAAGGTTAAACGAGAAACCTGAAACACGCCGTGATGGAGGTGGAGAAGGCAAATGCCGTTTGGTCTTTCGGGTCCTAAATCGAGCATAAAGCAATCCAGCGGAAGAGATGGCAACAACCACCCCAATTTTGAGTAAAAGAAGCCTTAAATCTCTCTTTTCTTTAGACATCACAACAATTGTAACTTCCAATTCCGACAATATCACTCAACGATTCGGGTAAAGCGAGATTATAAAGTCCTCTTCATAATCATCTTCCATCTACATGATAAAAACAAAACAAGTTAATGATGAAAAAGAAGTGAGGCAAACAAAAATCTCAGATGATCCAGTATATATAAAAGCCTAAGAGGTTACAAAGAATTTTGCATGATCAAGAATAGAAAGATCGACAACTAAACAAAGAAGAAGGAAAAACTGATTACCTTAATTCAAACATGCTAATATTAGACAGCTACAGATAGTATATGCTCAAAGTTACACATGAACTATGGTATTGTAAGAATAAACCAAGGATGGGGTCGTAGTTGGTTGTTTCTGTATCTAGTTCTTGTTCGATTTGGTTTTTGTTTGTCAATGGTGAATATTTGAGGATGGATTCATGGCTGAGCTGATTCCATGTAGATGCCGCAGTTGAGAATTAAATAGATGTCCCCAATTTTGTTTTGAAAAAAAAATGTTCCATAAATTAATTTCATTTCGAATAATAAATTTGGGAGTTAATTACATCACATGTCTCTAAATTATAACTCTAATTTTAAATTAGTCTTTAAACTTTTGAATATTTCAATTTCATCTCCAAACTATAATTCTCATTATAAATTAGTCCTTAAACTTTTGAACATTCTAATTTCATCCCTAAACTATGACCTTCTTTCTAAATTGGTCCCCAAACTTTTGAATATTCTAACTTCATCCCTAAATACATCCAAATATGTAATTAGTTTCAACCATGGTTTAACCTAAATTTTTTTTTTCAAACATACAATAATATAACTTGGCCTAAATATTTTATTAGCAAAGGATGTGATTAGTATATACATATTATTTGGGGATGAAATTGGAATGTTAAAAAAGTTTGAGGATCAGTTTATAATGAAGGTCATAATTTGAGGATGAAATTAAAATGATCAAAAGTTTGAAAACCAATTTAAAATAATAGTCGTAGTTTAAGGATAAAATTAAAATATTTAAAAATTTAAAGACCAATTTAAAATAAGAGTCATACATATAATACATTAACTCTAAATTTGGACATCCATCACTTTCCCCTCCGCTAGAATCTCGAAAATCGGGAGGCCCTATTAGATTCTTGGGTAGATTGGGTCGGGCTCACATACAGTTCAGTTAGGTATAAATTATTAATATTCAATTTTTAAAATCTATCGTTTACAATCTATATAAAAGTACAAGTGCAAAGTTTTTTTTTTGAGAGTCGAAAATATTTTTTATTTTTCATCATATTTTTAATTTAATATTCAAGTATTATTTTTTAAATAATTCTCTGTATAAATTATTATAATAATTATTACTCTAGATAGATGTTTATATGTAGCAAAGCTAGAATTTTAAGATTAATTCTTTAAAAGATAAATCTTTTTATAACCTACGTATTTCATATAACTAATTTGAAAATTTTAAAAATTATTTAGATAAATCATAAGAAATGTTTTTATTTAGATATAATTTATACATAATTAAATTTTAATAACTAACTCTTCAAAAAATAGTATTTAGCTAATATAATATAATATTATATTATGACGAGCAGGGCCGCTCTGGGCCGGGTAGAATGGGCGTCCGCCCAGGACCCATAAAAGTTTTATAATTTTTATACTATATATTTTTTAAGCATAAACAAATCAACATCGCCATTTGGAAGAGGAACGGGGCTTGGGCCGGGGCAGAATGGTTGCTATTATTTGTCTATTTTAATAAAAAAAATTAATATCAATTTTATATTATATATTTTTTATAATTTTTTAAAGTTAGGGGCCCATTTCTTTTATTTCGCCCCAGACCAAAAAATTCCCAGGATCGGCCCTGATGACAAGATAATATAATATTATGATATTATGTTTGTTTAATATAATCTTCTAAATATGATAAATATGTAATTTTTATATCAACAATTACTCTAAATTTGGTTTAGATTTATTTAATTTTTCATGTTTATATATTTAAATTATCTATGTATAAACAAAAATATTTTATTAAATAGTAAATACACATGTACAGGTACAACACACGTTAAAGTGGATTTTCTTTTCTTTGCGTTGCATGATTTGGTTCCGCTCGGTAACTTCCATTTATACAACTCGTGAACTTTCTTTTTCACAGTTTTGCTATTCGAAAAATCAATTTCAATGGCTGTTAAAGTTTGACAATTAGGCAAGGAAGTTAAAGGCTTTACAAAGGTTAAAAGGAATCATCAAAGAATTTATAAAAGCTATTTAAAGAACAAACCATTCAATGAAAGGGAACCCTACTCTTGCAGTTAAAGAACATTGTGTTATCTTGGTGTGATTTTTTGGTTTTTTCATACTGATAAGTCATCGACCTTGGTACTATAACAACGGTACCTGTTTGAGCATGAATATGGCAGGCAGCGTTAATTTGAGTTGAATCCTTTTGTGGCAGAGTGTGGAACAGAGTAGTAGCAGAGCTGAGCGTATGAAGATTGGAGCAAACGAATACTGTATCTATATATAGTCTGGCTGCTACTGATGTAGAGCTAAATGATTTTGGAGAAACGCTGATAATCTGAAGATTGGAGCAAACAAACCATATCTAGTTTCCTGCACATTAGTTGCAAGAGTTACATAAATACTGACCATTTATCTTCATTGCTCAGATTTTGACAATAACTACATCTAGGTGACCTGTGTGACAGTTTTCACCAATTTATAAGGGAATTTTTCTCAACTATTTCATGGTAAAACAAGGAATTGTAGTATGTTGTTGACCACCCACCCACTTTGGGGAGTGGTTAGCTTTGGCTTGACCTTAATCACATATTTTGAGTCTTCAATCCCCCTTTTTTAACTTTAATTTTGGTCAAACCACTGGATCTGGTTGTATATCTTTCCATTTACTTTCTTTTAGGATTCCCTAAGTTTTGTTCAGTTGGAATCATACCTAACGTGTCAAAACGAATACTTGGATTCAATTTTCTTTGGGAATCAGATTTAAAAAAGTTTGGACAGCCATTGGTTATATTGAAAGGGTTAGATAATAAATATTTCCTCAACAATTTTTATTATAAATAAATATTTTAAGGGAAACTAATTTTGTTAACTTATTATTCGTCAAAAGGGATGGTTTATTTGTCTAATAAATTCTCTTTTTCAAATGTTAACGAAACGTGTTTGATTTAGCAAAGTTGAGAACAAAAGAATTGGTCAGATTATGGTTTTGATCTCTCTAGTATATTTAAAGTTATGATTTAGCAATTAAAAAGTAAAATTAAATTTAAATATAATTTGAAGGACTGAAACCATTATTTGACCAGAAAAGAAGTTTTCTTTCCTTTCCTTTATAAATGGAAAGTTGTAATTTAGAATAGAAAATGAAATTGTAAATGCTAAAACTGGTTTTTCATCTAATCTAATAATTGATTAATTCAATTTGGACACTGTATAGGCTCATTACGGGAGTCTTGTTAGTCGAGTTGCTACATTCATAATGTCATGATTCGAACTTCTAACCTCACTCAAAGGATTCAATACCTCATCATACTCACTAGACTAACTGGTTGTTGATAAACATTGTTTTTAATAATATTATATATTAATTAATTAAATTAAGTATTGATTTGAAATTTATTTTGTGTTTTGGATGATTAAATGTATTTGTTTATCTTACAGCTTTGGTTAGTGACGAAAGTCAGATTCTTATTTTGTGTTTTTAAATGAATGTTTTTGTTTTAGCTTTCATTTCTAATGCACTTGGCATTTTGTATATGTGACAAATTTTTGCGTAGAAATTTCCGCCGCTAATACCAATAGTTGATGATGACATTTTGCAATAGAAAAAACATTAATAAGTAATACTTTTTATATCTTATAGTCAATGTTACACGAACTAAGGTATGATTAACGGTCGGTCACCCATGCCTACGTGGTACGAGTTATTTGATACCCGAGGGGACTGACATACTCCCCACTATCAAATGCATCGTGCATGCTTTTCTCTAATTTTCGAGCTAATCAATTTAATGAACGTAACTCTTCAGATAATTAAGTAAATAAATAAACATATAAAATAAAATTCAATAATAAGAATAACCCTATGACAAAAACAATAGTTTTGTATTATAAAACATTAATATCCGTTTGATACTTAATTTTTTATTATCAAAGTATTGTGTATTTGTGTTAATGTATATTCCCGTATAATTCAAACCTTAATTTTTGATTAATTATTTTAGTATTTGTCGTAAATAAAAACGACAGTATTAAATTTTGGATCGAAAAACAACGAACAAGAAGACAGGCCAATGTCAACGCGTGGAGCCCCAACTACATAGGAATTTATGTAACTATAAATTCAACAATGTTCTAAAAATTAGTTAGCCGTAATGTCAAGAAAAAAAATAACTATTGAAGTTTAAAAATCTTTTCAATCAATTGAAAGTCAGCTTTCATTTTTTTTATTATTTGCATAGTTTTTATCATATATTATGTGCATTTATTTAATTTTAAATAAAGAAGCGTCAGCTTCTGGGCGGCTAGCTATCTATTTAAGCAGTGTGTTGGATACCTCATTCAAGGCGTTAAAACAGTTGGAAACAAAACCTTTCGGCTTCCTTCGACTGTGAGAAGTGAGAAATAGTAAGAGCTAACATCACTATTTTTTCTTTGAATTTTATTTTATTTGTTCCAAAGCCTTTTTGATCGTTATGCATGATTGAGTGGGTCAGTTGATGAGCTTTACCATACAGTAAAAAGGTTTCTATAAAAAGATAGACATCTGCTTTCTTTCCTTCTTTTTAATCTTAGGGGACGCGTAGCACTAACACAAAGTCAAAAATTAGTAAGTATATGCGCTTAAAGTCATTCCTGTTCATCTGATTTTGACATAGATTTTGTGGCTGTCCCAAACAACTTTAATTTACTTGATTGGTAAACACTCAATTGCTTAACTTGATTGGTATTTTTTGTTTGTGGTAATTTGCCATGCAAAGGAGCAAAATTTTCAAAGATGCTCAGCTAATCGATGAATTTTCTTTTGTACTTTATTAAACTAATGTTATTTGAAAATGACAACTCCACACAAACATCATCCTGTATTGCTTTACACCTTTTTTTTCTTCTTCTTTTTGTTCTTGATGAAACAATCTTCAAGTCTTGATTACTTAACTTGGGGGTTTTAATTGCTGCAGAAATTCGAACCCATGACTTCCCCGTCAGCCGCCGAGCTCCCGATAGTAGAGCTTTTCGATGAGAATTGCAAGCCTGGAACTGCCGCTTGGGTCTCCAAATGCAACGACGTTCGACTAGCGCTCGAAGAATACGGCTGCTTCCTTACGCCTTATCACCAAGTTTCATCTCAGCTTCAGGGTCAACTCTTTAACTCCCTGCAACAACTGTTTGATCTTCCTCTGGAAAACAAGGTTCAAAACACCTCTGAGAAACCTTACTTCGGTTACTTTAAGCACCCTTCGATTCCCCTCAGTGAAAGCATGGGCATTGATAACCCAACGACTCTTGATGGAACTCAATGTTTCACTCATCTCATGTGGCCTAATGGCAACCCAAAGTTCTGGTACGTATATATCTCATCATACAAATATGCAAACATAAATTTGAGAATACGAGTGACATGGTTTAACTATCTGTTTATAGTGAAAGTGTTCATTCGTATGCAAAGCTGGTGTCCCAATTGGATCGAACGGTAAAAAATATGGTGTTTGAAAGCTACGGTGTAGGGAAATACTACGACTCTCACATGGATTCCACCAGTTATCTTCTTCGACTGATAAAATATAGAGTGCCGAATGAAGGGGAAGAAGTTGAAGAGTGTGGATTTCCCCACACTGACAAGAGCTTCTTAACCATACTTCACGACAATCAAGTAGCCGGACTTCAGACAAAAACTAAAGATGGCAGGTGGATATGTGTTGAGCCATCGGGTTCAATGTTCATAGTCATGGCCGGCGATGCATTCTTGGTCAGTTCTCTCTCTCTTTTTCATTATTATAAATAAGAAACCCCACCTAAATATAAAAATAACAAGATAGTTATTTATTAAAATTTGTGGAAATGGTAGGCATGGAGCAACGGAAGGGTGCATTCGGCAACGCATCGTGTGGTTACGGAGGGGAAGAAGGCAAGATATTGCGTGGCATTGTTTTCATTCAGCGGCGAGACGATAGAAGCGCCGGTGGAGCTAATCGATGAGGCCCACCCCTTGATGTTTAAGCCCTTTGAAAATATGGACCTGCTGCGTCTCTATTCCCTTGATGATCTTGAAAAATATTCCCAGGTTTTCAATGGCCAGGCCTAACATGCTTCAAGTGTATTTGAAGTTTTCAATTTAATACACCCTTTACCACTTTCTATTTTATATATGGTTCCTGAATTGAGGAGCTACACTGTCTCCCGCACTTTATATGTATCTATGATGGTGCTCTGCCCAATATAATAACAGCTCTTTCATCATTTTAGCCCATAAAATTGGATCATTTCTATGACTTTAATCAAACCCACACTCCAAAACACTCCTTGCTTTTGCCTTATCGCTCTGCATTTTAATTTTTATGTAGGCTTAAACTTAATTGCAATTTGCCTCCTTTTTTATGGAGTTACAGAGTTTAGTTCTATTAAAAAACAATAACATATTCAAAATTATAATAAAATCCGTAAATTAAACATGTAATTAAAATATTTTTTATAATTATTGACACAATAAACTAACCACTCAAGATATACAAGACCATAAAAGGAAAATATTAAAATTCATAAAAAAAAAGTAATAAAATACATATACGAATAAATAAGTGTTATCTTGATCAATTGAGTGAAAGTTAAATTCAAACCTAAAGAAATTGAATAAAAAATGATCAAATGATCGACTATATACCGGTAGGGGTGTTCAAAAGTACCCGATTTCCGACCTCAGTATAAAATTATCAGGTATATTAAAGATAAATACATGATTTTTTAGGTCGAGTATGCGACTAGTAATTTTTGCCAGGTTTCTGGGTTGGGCCCAAATCACAAACTTATATTTAACCGATACTTGCTGACCCACCGACACAATTCTCATTTTTTTTATTTTTTATTTTTTTAAATTAAAACTTTCATTTCTATTTTTAAAATCAATTGACCATAGCTTAACCCTTTTTGTCTTAAGGTTACCGTATTCAAAGACGGACACATAAGTTTATGTTGGAGGATGAACTTAAATTACTTTTTAAAGGGACAAACCTATAAAATTTAGGGGATGCAAATATATTGCCAAATAAAAATATTAAAAAAAAACTCTAAAACATATGAGAATTTAAAATTTTCAGAAGACGATCAATGGATCCTAATCATATTACTAAACCCTTGATGACTATTATTTTTAACTGAACACATATGCTAGTAGCTAATATTTAAAATATCGTATTCGAGTCGACATCAAATTCAACCTTAAAAAATTGAATAAAAAATCATCAAACAATCGAATACATACCAGTAAGGGTGTTCAAAAGTACTCTATCCGTCGACTCGCCGACTTGGTATAAAATTAACGGGTATTTTAGATTGTTTGGTCATTTTTTTAATCATGTTTAACAACTAAGTTATATGAAAAAGAAATTGAAAATGCAATTTTTATTGGGGTACGATTTTTCCCTAAGAACAATAAAATTTATTCGTCAGCAGTTAACCTACAGTTCTGATGATAATAATTTTAAAATTTTGGAGTCTAAAAATGTTTATAGATTCTTTTCGTTTCATGTCATTGTAATTTGCTTAGAAATTTTGCTGATAATAATCTCAATTTTATTTAGCTAATAATGTACTATGTTAGTGGTGAAGAAGAGATGATGCACTCAAGTTGAGCTTGGTTTCCCAGATTTTGACATTACCCATGAATCTTGTTTGCACGGAATTAGGTGGAAAAATCTATATAAGCACTCTGGCTGAGGTTGAATGAAATCAACCTGGTATAATATTATATATAACACGATCAAATGAAATGAATGCCGGCGTGAATAAGCATTGTTGGCAAATATGTTTCATCGGATATGTTTTGATTGGAAAAGAAATGCATACATTGGATGAATTTACACAAGCACTCTGTTCTGCCCTATGGCTTTGTTTATAACTTAGTGAAAAGACTCTAATAGGTTGTCAGAATCTTCCTAATAATACACACAGTAAACGAATTATTAAGACAAGACTTCTAAAACTTGAAAATCTTCTCTCAATATTCCAGAGTTTCATCAACTTGGTAAACATGACTTGTTCATTTGAACTCCACTTACGATGTTCCTCGCAGCCATTATTTCATTTAGGGGAAGTTTCTTCTTTGTTCCTGCCACTGGTCGTTGCTTTGGGGGCACTGTGAGATCTTAACTTGGCCTTGAATGATTGTGTGCTCGCCATGTAGTTCGGGAGGTTCGAATAAGATCGTCTAAAATATCTGTCCCCGCACACAGTCGACGGTGTAGTAGGAGCATTAAAAGTCCAATTTGTGTTGCCGAAACGAGGAGTGGTCTGAGTAGTAGAGAGCCTACATTCGTCGTCAGCGAAACACCATTCAAAATCATCCCCATTTTTGTGATGGGGTGTGGATGCTCGAATAGGAACTGGATATGGAAGAGGCGATGAGATTGTCAAGTATGGCAAGTCTTCCCCGCATTCTGATAATGCATTAATGTTGAACCTGCGTGACCTTGATCTTGTCTTGAATGTATCAATTTCAACAATTTTTGGGCTCTCATCATATACATTGGACTCCATTGATGCAGACAGTCTTTTGCTGTGAATTTCACTTCTCGGTTCATCAAAGCTTTCCTGCAAATGAGACGAGAAAAAAAATCAATATGGCAGAAAATTAATTGTGGGAATATGGATTCACAAATGGTGCTTACAATGGGTTTCCGGGTCCTGTTATCGAGATAATACGAATCATCCTTGTTGAAGGAGCGACGTATCCGTTGAGAACGAACTGTTGTCTGTGCTCTTAGAAGAGCTTGCATACTGTGAAGAGTTGCAATAGCCCTCTTTCTTACAAGATAGCCTCTAACAAGAGCTTGTAACCGAACCAGACCTTTCAAAGCTCTAAGTGCTTTTCGAGACTGAAAGGACAAAACCCAAACCAGTTTCAACAAAATTGGAGCAAATATAACCAGAATATTGGAGCAAATATAACCAGAAGCCAAAAGTTACCAAAAAGGACGAACAAATAATGATGTTAAAATCAAAATGATTTTTCGAAATTAATCTCTATTTAAGTAAGACATTTGTAATTTTAAAAACAAAATTTAAATTTCAAAATATGCAATCATTTTCAGAGCAAAATCATGAAAATTTGAATTGAATCATAGACATTGGACAACATCTCCCATCACTTCAGTTGGGGTATACTAATTACTAGGAGGAAGGAGGATTTTGGCTTTTAGTCAAAAAAGAGAGTTTGGAAAACATAAGTATCACAAGTACCGTTACCTTGAGCAAAGACATCACACAGACCAAAATGTAAACATACCTGAAAAAGAATGTATAATCCGGTTACTAACAGAAATGCACTTACCAAATAGCCTCTAAAGATGGTTTGAATTTTCATGGCAGCCCACCTTTCCCTCCCCCCACCAAAGGAAGTGGCTCTTCCATTATTGGTTAGCTTCACAACTGCCATTGCTGCCTTGGCTGCTGCAACGGCGGCATCGGCTGCAGCGGCAGTGGCTGCTGCCACCGCAATTGCATGCTTGTTCTGATCTTTCTTTGTTTCAGCAACGTAGGATCTCAGCCAAGAACCCTCCGTACTTGTGTAAGCATTCCTTGGACTGTGAGAGATTTCATCAACACCCTTGTTTGACATAGCAAAACTCAACCTTTTCTTCTCCTTTTTATCATATACAACTGATGAAATCGACGAATTTTGGTCTTTATTAGTATCTTTTTCTTTCTCCCTTTTCATGCCTATTAAGCCCTTCAGCCACCTTGCTGCTTTTCCCATCTCTTAAAGATCAAAACTAAAGCAAGAAAAAGAGTAGTACCAACAAAAATTATTCCCAAGGACAAACAAATGAAGATGAGTTTGTTAAAGAGAAAAACAACTATAGAAGCTGCATTCCCCCCCCCCCACTTTCCCTAGAATCTGAAGTGAGAAAACATGAGAAAAATAACAAACATGTAGCTAGCTAGTAAATCTTTATAGAGAGAAACGAGAAACGTCAAAGCACTGATGGTTTTGTTCTTTAGCAATAAAAAAACAAGTAAGAAAACTTTCAAAAAGAAAAAGTAGTTATCATAAAATTTAGAAAAAGACCACAAAGAAAAGAGAAAAAAGTGAGCTCTTTTTTAAAGTTGGATTCGAGTTTATTGAGAGAACAAAAGCACTGCAAGATCTCTAAAATCTTACAGGTTTACAGGTAGCGAGTAATGTGGAGGATGAACAATATTAAACAAAAGGAAAAACATAAAAAAAAACCTTAAAATATATGGATAAAGGTTGGATTTTTTTGAAAAGGAAATCTGACACAACCTCGTGAATAACTGCACTACAAGACGAAAGAATAAAAGAAAAAGATGTCATGATTTACAGTTATTACTACAAAAACTATATGTTTCAAATAAAACACAGTATTCAGTAAGCAAAAACAGACAATTACAGACAAAACGAAATCTTTTAAAAAGGAGAGGTAATGATAATCACATGAAAGTAGAAGAAACCCAGTTTCCCTCTCACCTTCTCAAAAATTCAAAAGTAGCGCCCTGGGTTCCTCTGTCTCAAAGCTTCAAACTCTTTTTATAATCTAAAGATTCTCTCTCTCAAACTTTGTTGAGCAATGCGTATACAAATGAAAGCGCAAAACTCATACTACAATATTTTATACCAATATTTACAAGAGTATTATAATAAATACCTTTATCTTATTGGACAAGATGACGAACATCTTATGGCCATTCTTTTTAAACAAAACTAGATACAAAGAAAGCAACTTTTCTTTGTAGTTGTTTTTAGACACCGAGAAAGGACTAAAAGACATTAAAGCAAAAGGGTTGGTTTTTATAGCTGCTACTCTTTTGTCTGTGAATAGTCCAAAAGAATATAGATATATATATATATGTATATACTATATATAAAGGCTGAAACTTCTTCTCTTCTAGTAGGTGAAGAAGAAAGATCTTTCAGTTTCCGTATCTTCATTTGCATAATGATTTGTGGCTCAGTATCTCTCTGCTGTCATTGATTCTGCACAATACATACCCCTCTCTTCTCTCGGTATGAGCAAAGGTATCATGAAAATTTGTAAGAATCAATCTCCATAGATACCCTTTTTTCATATATACCGGTTGATATTACAATTGTGATATAATTCATGAATTATTTTTAAAATATAATAAATAATACATTAAATACAATTATTTTATAATACAATTTAACCGACTAATGTTTTTGGAAATTAAATAAATTTGGTTATTATCATATTTGACTTATTCACACGTTATAATTAAAATTAAGAATATATATATTCATATAAACTTTTCATCAAAGTTTAATATAGTTAATGTATTTTTTTTATGTTATATCACATAGGTTTATCAGATTTTTCATAAAATACATTATCAGATGGAGTTGAAATTTATACTATCCAAATTTAAGGTAAAATAATGAATCATTTGCATTGAATTTGGACAACAAATTCCACGACCTTTTCTAGCTTTTATATTGTTATTATTGAAAGGTACATGCAACTGTACAAGTACCGTAACAAAATTATCATAAAAAAGGTACCATAATAAAATTTGGCAAGTTGGCCTATAAATGGTCCAGATCCTATTATATTACATTTATTATTATTATTATTATTATTATTATTATTATTTAACGTAAAAATTCTTATACTTCAATTATATATATCTTTTAAATTTTTAAACAAAAAGTAATTATATTTAAACGTGATTGAATACACAATTTCCTGATTTATTAAAATTTAGGAATTAAATAATACTAATTGTTCAAACCAATTGGATTAAAAAATCAACTTGTTGAGTTCAGTTTAAATATTGGAACTAGACACTAAAAAACGTCTTATTTTTTCTTAAAATATATTATTATTATTATAATGAATGAGACGTAAGCCTCTAACCACTTAGCCTCACGTTAAAGCCCATGCCATTAATCTATAACCATATTTGTATCGACTATATTTAATAGTCATTTAATGTTTTTTTTAAATAAGATGATAAGTATTATATTTTCAAAGTAAATGTTAGGATTCAAATTCATAATATATATATAATAATCGAATTAATTTAATCTAATATGGAATTTTAGATATAACATTGGATCCTATTTATCAACCATGAGACTAAGCGGTCCGGCCCTATTGTTGTAGCCGGTACCAAGGAAGGTCAAGGGAGTATCCGAGACAGTGTAGACGGGAGAGGCCTAAGTAGACCCTTAGCTTTCTTCTTTGAATACATCGAGTGTGGGTTTTAATCAAAAAGGCCGTAGTCCACATTAAGGCTTCATTATTGTATATTTGTTGGTTTATGTTTTATATGGTCCGGTTGTTGTTTCTTTAATTGCCTATCTTCCTACTTCATAATAATAACATTTAGGTGGTTATTTAATTAAGAATAAACTACCCTCAATGTCATTTTCGTTTTTGGTATTACAATTGTTATTATTATTGTTTTTGATTTTTAAAAATTAGATAATATTCGATTTTTTAAAAATATTAATTTTGAATGCCGTGAAGTGATTTAATATTCTTCACATGTAACAAGTATTTGAGTACAATTCTGATTATGGTATTAAACACAAATTAAATTTGAAGATAATCTAACGTAATTAGCTTAAAATAATTAATGACGACTCTATCTTCTGACGAGTTATGAAAGATTCACGATCTATTATAACCACCACAAACTAATTTCTACAAATCTTATTTTGATTATATTTAGCTCGATCTGATCTTACCCGATACAAATACTTTTACTCCTGTAAAGGACCAAATGATGTAACTTAAAACTATATTGCATTTCTTCTCCAAATTAAAAGTTTGAAAATTTTCAATTTCCTTCTTATTTTCAGAAGAAAATTAAAACGTTATATTTTAAATATAAAACTATAATTATTAGGTTGTATTTATATTATAAAGTATAATTACATATATTTTAATGAGACTCGTTAATTAAAAATGAATTTAAAAGAAAATTGAAAAATCACTATAACTAAGTACACATGTAATAAATCTAATGAGTATGATTTGATTAAAAGTTAATGTGTATATTTTCTGAGCATAATTGAAGAATATGATTTGATGATTTTTATTACACTTAATTTAATGAGATCTGCCAATTACAACGATTATATAAACATATCATTTTATATAATTATATTAAAATCAAATTACTTAATGACTTCCAATGCATATCTTTAATCTGACGTATATCTTACATGATAATAAAACGTACAAAACGAAATGTCGTATAAAGAATGATACAAAAGGAAAGAAGCTTTGACATAGTGATTACGTTTTTTTAACCCAATAAACATTTTGAGATTTGAGTGGAGGGTTTACCTAGAGATGGGCATGGGACCTGAACTTGATGGGTTCCAATCCGACTCGATCGGGTCATATTTAAAAAAAAAAGTTCGGGTCAAGTTTTTTTAAGATGGTGTTCGGGTCGGGTCGGATTCGGTTTAGGATGAAAATACTCGACCCGAAAATATATAATTTTACCTTATAATACCAATTAAAAAAATATCATTATTTTATTGACAATTAAAGAGAAAATGACGTGAAAATTTCTAAAGATAAAAAGAATATCATGTTAGCATTATAATTAGTTCTTTTAACGACGGGGATTAAAATAAAAACATAAAATCATATATGATTTAAATCAAAAAAATGTTGACAATAAAAATAGAAAAAACGAGAATAGATGACATATAACGTAACATTAAAGAATTGCCAGACAACTAGAACGGATTTGTTAGTATTTAATGATAAAAAGAAGATTGAAATGAGCCCTCGAAAGTTCGAAGAACCGTACAAGTATTTGACAAATATATACAGTGTAAACAATTAGGAAACAAAGCCAGATGCCCAAGTTTACAAGTTAAAAGACATGTCCGTCCTTTGTCTTGGTCAAAGATGCACACGTGTAAATGACTGACCAAACTCTGCAACCGGGCGGATGGTTTAGCGGATGGTTTAGGAGCAAAGCGCAGCGATATGTGGCGGCAACCGCGCACGCGTGTTTGACACTTTCCTATATTCCCACACGTGACAGTCTCCAAATGGAATTATATTATGTTAGGAAGTCTTTATTTTTGGCCCGAAGTTAGGCACAGCTCATAATGATAATGACCCTTACATCTTCCCCCAAACCTCTCCTTATTTTTCTTTGAAAAATATATATTTTATCCTCAAAGTTCCATTGAGCTTGACTTAGATAACCAAAACCAAACACTGCATGAGCCGAGCGTTAAACAGGTTTGGTCGTTGATTAAACATGTCTCAATGGGACCAAAAGTGATGGAATGAGCTTTGGGGTGGGTCTTTTCAATTGCTAACGGAACAATACTTTAGATTGCAGTGAGCTTCAGAGGTTATAAAATCCGGAGATGGGTGCTTAACATACCAGATAAAAAGAGCTACAGGATAGTACCAAATGGCATTGATGTGAGAAGAAAGGAAATAAAAAATTACATAGTAGGAAAACTACTGATATATATATACAGCGAGAACGTCTGGTTTAAGGCTAAACAGGGAACAAAATGTCAAAACATTAAACATAACTCAAATCCTCGTCTTCAAACTTGGGTGACACAGTCAAGCCGGTATTTTTCCTTGTTTGCTTCTTCCAACTGTGTAAACAAGGACCCCAAATTTCGTCAACAAGAGCCACGGAAAACAAAACAAAAAAGAAAAACCGATTATAAGTCAATGAACACTCACGGCTAAGGGCAGAAAGTTCCGAGCTCTTCAACACGCGCAGCCGCTGCACTGTTGACACAAACATGCTGCAAAACAAATTCAGACTCCCGATATTACAAATACATGCAATACAAAAAAAAAATGACCGACATTGAAGAAATCAGAAAACAAGACGACACAAGATGATGTATAATAAAATACGCTATTCTGCTGTGATCACTGATCGTGGGAATATAATATGGTGTTAAATATAATCTGAATTGGACCAGGTCCATGCTGATAAGATACTTACTTCCACGGGACATCCCCAACAAGCATCCTGTCCCCTTCGTTATCTTCGTAAACCAGTGTATATTCCCCACTTCCATCCAATAATCCCGTGATCACTTTCTCCTCCTCCACCTTCACTATTCCACCACCACAGGGATCTCTTTGAGCTACACACAACAAACTCACGAGTCACATGACATTAACAATACGGTGTAACCAGATGCAATAGTAGCAAGAGATAAGGCTGTCAAGCACGACAAGTATGAATAAAACAAACTTGCCTAATGGCTAATTGGCTGGACTTTCAAATCAAATTTATCTAAACCCATGGTTTTTAGCTTATAGCCTTGTACATTATTTATTGGAAATTTATTTACCAGCGAGTAGACCTCTGAATAGTTCATCAACAGCTGCAGACAGTTTTTCGTAGCTGTCATAGGCTTTGAGGTCGACTTTCCTTCCTATGGGAACTCCATCCATGTTGATTTTCACAAATTTGGCACTCGGTTCAGCAGCTTTTTTCTCATTAGCAGCCTTGTGTGGTTGTTCAGCAGCTTGTTTTGAAGAGCTGCTGCTTGCAAGATTTTTCCTAAAAGACCGAATTGGAGGCCAACCCACAACTGGACCAGGAGCAGTTCTGTTTTCCATCACCATAATAACCATTGGATTAAACCCCAAATAGAAGGTATCAATTCAAGGGTTAAAATAGATAAAAATGAAGAGATAAGATCAATATAATAATAGCATAAGAGAGGAAACTTGTACATCTAAAGAGAAAGATGATAGTTAATCATTTACAACCAGAATAGGTTAAGAGCTACCATGAATGAGCAGATCAATAACAATAAAAGATGCTAAAGAAATAATTTATGAAACCAGCTTAAGAAATGTAGAATTATGAACTAAAACTACAAAACATGCAGGTACATGTAATGAAAAGATAAAGAAACGAGGCAACTAACATTCTAGCAAAGCATGCATGGACCAAAAAACATCAAGTAAGCTAATCTCGTGACTTGTCAGTGAATATCCTCGGTCAAGAAGATTTTTTTTAATAAAATAAAGAAAGAGATATACATTAAAGAGATGCAGAGAGACAAAGAGATGTAATAAAAAGCTGGAGTACCTTTTCTGAGAAGTGTTGGGAGGACCAGCTGTATTTGCAGTAGGTGAAAATGGTTTTTTCTCTGCATTCTGAATGTTTACTGCTTTAGTGCAACAGGGCTGGGATGGTTCCTTTGCCACAACAGGCAAGCTCTGTTGGGGTGTTGATGGGAACAGAAGAAATGGAGGACGGTTTGTCAGCTGTTGAGGGTTATGGTGATGGCTTTTGGTCCATGAATGGGACAAAACTGACCGGAGCGGGTGGTGGTTGTGGTCCTCTGGAGATGGAAATTTATGTGCCTGTTTTCCATTGCTGTTCATTGAAGACGAGTACACGAGTGAGATGACAGGCTCATCTGTCTCACTGTTGTTGTTTTTGGCGGTAGCCTTGATGGACCAGTTATCTTCATCGCCTGGGGGACCAAGCCTCAGTTCCAGCTTCTTCTCTTCTGATGGTAGCTGAGTTTTACCATCTTTTGTCTGCGTATGCCACTCGCTTTCTTGAGGGATCAAGTCAAGAAGCTGAGGACATGTTTCCCCATTCTTTGAGCAACCACTATCCATCTCCAAGTAACTCAGAAATATCACCTTTTCTTTGAAGACCAAGGACTAGCAAACTGAAAAAAGAAAACAGATCTGTTGAAGATTTAGAAACAAACTAGAATGAATGTAAATAACATAAGAATGAAAATCCATAGGACAGAAACTAACCTTAAACTGAGTCAGTCGACCAAAGTTCAAAGCAATAAAGATCAGCTTCGTGAAATCTAAAAAACTTTCCTTAACAAGGAAAAGAACTCTGAAGATCTTCGCTAACAAAGCAAGAGCTTTGCAGCTCCTTAAAACAAACACTTTTAAAATGAAAAGGAAAAAACTTTTAAAACGGAAAAACCCACCAAGAGAAGGGAACCCCCCAAAAGAACAGTGTTTTAAACAAGTCAGACAGCTAGGATAGATGGGAGAGAGAGAGCTAATATAGGAGGGGTGGTCCGGATGGATTCTTAGCTGTAGCTTTTTCCTTTGTTTTTATTATTTTAGCACGCATAAGTGGGTTCGTGTTGCTGTTTTTTTCTCTCTATTCTTTAGAGGAGTCGAGTAGCAGGAAGATTATTTTTATAGGTAAGATGGGGGAGGGGAACATCAAAATAGATGACAAAACATCAAGAGATTCCTCTTTTTTTGTGAGGAACCCCAAAACATGGAACAGGAAAACAAGAATAATAAGCGCAACCCACGCAACGCAACCCACGAGGATGCTGCTTCAACATCACTTTTGAAAATTTGTGCCATCAAAACCCACCCTATGTACGTTGTTCAGCTGAGCATGCAAAAGCAGAGAGTAGATAGCAAAACAAAAGCAAAGCGTGCTGTTGCTGACCTACTCAAAGATACTCCTTTTAACTCCTTCCCCTGCTCTCTTGTCTCTCTAAGTTTAACCGAATTCTCTCTTTTTTTCACTGCCGCACTTTCAAACAAAACTTTACCCTCATTGGCATCATTAACCCCAAGAATATCCCACCCCTTTGTTGTAGCTGTTGTAGTCTTGTCCCTCCTAGGGGAGAATAAAACATAAACAGTGATATGAGCCATGAGACAAGATTAATTTAGATAATAAACGTTTAGAAACATCAAAATGTTTTATAATATGGGGAAAACCCATATAGAATGCATGCGTATTCTTGTTTATTTCATTGTCAACATGGTTAATATAATGGGCAAATACCCCACCATTTTGTTATGTATGCACCTATCCCCTATTCCCCTCTATTTTCTTCCCTCCATTCATTGATTCATGACTTTCATTTTAATGGCTTCCCCTTGTGCATATCAATTCCATGCGCCGCTATTATGTGCTATTTACGGTCTCTCGTGTCGGACCCATACCCGGATCTCCCTTTCAATTATTAGAAACAAAAAGGAAAAAAAATTATTTGATCACTCACTTATCCATGTGTTTCTTTTTAGTCACTTAATTGTATTATTTTCAAAATTATACTAAAACAAAAGCATGAGAATAGTTGATCAAATAGATAATTTACCCAACAAACAATTAGATGGGCAATGCCAAATTCAGTAGGTTTCTTTTTCCTTTTTCCCTTGTATGAAATAATAGTCTCATATGATAAAAAATTGTCGACATAGACGGAATCACGATTTTGTGTTTAATTTTTTGAATGGATAAATTTATAAAATTTTAAGGAATAGAAAAAAATTAGAAATACAAAAATAAAAAAAAATGAAACATATGATAATTCAAAGTTTTCAGAAGGCGACTATTTTCACTCGTCTCTCTCAATTCATCCTTCCCATCAAAATATTATTTGATTTTACACTAATATTATTTGATATAGTTAACGTGACATTTATTATGATAAACATTTTAGTGATTATTTGAATATATTTGACATCATTAGTTAATTTAGAAATCGTAAAAAAATAATTAAAAGTTAAGAATAACAAAATAATTTATTATTTTCATAATAACATTATAGTTTAAAATAAAGAAAATGTCTCATAATTATTATGCATTAACATTTATATTAGTAATTTTAATCATACTTAAATTAAATTAACATATAATTTAAGGTTAAGATCTCAAAACTTTTAAAATTTATTAACATTAACTCAATGTCTAAAGAGTTATACTGTTTTTAAATATTTATACGACTTTATTAAAGTCTTGATAATGACACATGACTTGGTCTAACATATGTTACGACACCAACGATTATTTTAACTAATGATGACCACTTGTTAGATTATGCATTGAAGTTTTATTTTATTTAATCCACATAATTAGATTTGCATTCAAATTTGTTTATTTAAATATCTCTAAACATGAAAGAGATGGATCATATAAAAAGATTTATAAATATTCGGGAAAGAAATAAGGGTAAATTACATGTTTAATATCTAAACTATTGTTATTGTTCCATTTTGATACTTCAATTTTATTTTTTTCAAAATCATACCTAACGTTTAGATTATGTTTCATTTTGGTACCCGCCGTTAAAAACTTAACTAAATTGTCGTACGTTGTTTTTTTATGGGTAAATTACACCATTTATCACTCAATTATCTTCTCACTCCTATTTTAGTCATTGAAGTTTAATTTTTTTAATTTAATATTTGACTTTCAAATTACTCTTACTCTCATCACTCTAATTTATTTTTTTAATATTTTTATGAGATGACATCTTTTAATTAGTATTTTATTAATAGATAATTAAAATAAAAAAGAAAGAGACGAGTTGGAGAGGTCGTTAAGAGTGATGTTGCAAGGGTGGGGTGAGGGGTTTGTGATTTTGGGTTTGTGGTATAATTTTTGGATTTGTGTATCATTTTAAATTTAATTTTTTTATTTTATGTATATATTAATATAATAATAATAATAATAATAATAATGTAATGTCACCAAAATATTAATAAAATAAATTAGAGTGATTAAAACATGAGTAATTTGAAAATTGAGTAGTTAAATTAAAAATGTTCAAACTTTAGTGATCAATATAGGATTGAGAATATAATTGAGTGATGAATGATATTATTTACCCATGAAGAATGACACGTACAATACAGTTACAAACGGCATGGTACGAAAATGAAATATAAACTAAACATTAAGTATGATTTTGAGAAAAATAAAGTCAGGTACCAAATCAGAACAAAATAATAGATTAGGTATTAAACATATAATTTATTCAGGGAATAAAAACGTGGGTAATTTAATTTGGACAATGTGAAAAAGTTTGTTTGGTACAGCTCCAATAAGGTCCGCAAAACGGGAGCAAGCCTAACGTTGTCTTATACATGTTGAAAACAAATCAAGAATAAAAAACTAGAATGCATGCCATTTATTGCCATTCATCAATTAATTTGTGGGGTAAAATTTACAAATGGTCATTTAACTATGTTAGAATTATCTTTTTGAACATTAAATTTTTAAAAGTTGTATAATAACCATTAAACTTTAGATTTTATTACAAAATTGATACAACACCACTAAATATTATTAAAGAGGTAACGTGGTATGTTAAATTATTAAGAAATATCTCATTTGAATATTGATTATAACTAAAATCTCATTTTTACTCTTAATTTTAATTAAAATGATTATTATTAAGTTTGTTTAATTGAAAATAAAATTGATGTAAATAAAATAAATATTATTTTTCAATTTCATATTATAAGTATTAAATTTATACCATATAAATTAAAATTTATTTTATATAATATTATACTTTTATAGTTGTATGATTTTTAAATTACATTTAAATTTGTAAAATAAAATTTAAATGCTTAAATCACATCATTAATAAAATTTAATTTTATTGTTTGATAATATAATTTTCGGACCTCAAAAATTACAAAAAAATTTACTTCACAAATACAGTAACAATTAAATACGTAATTTGTTATAAAATAGTTTTTACTTAATAAAAAAATTAATTTCATTATTTGATAACTGAAATTTTTGATGGAGTCCACAGAAATGAGAATGTTTCGATGGGCATGTGATATGACTCTGTGGGACATGACATCAAACTCTGCTATTAGGATGTCATTGGGGGTGGTGCATGTATCCGAAAAATTGAGGGAGGGAAGACTACGGTGGTTTGGGCATGTCCTTAGGCGACAACCGTCGGATGCGGTCAGGAGGGTAGAGTCGATTACAGTCGACAGTGCTAGAATGAGAGGACGACCAAGGCGGAAGTGGGAAGACTGCTTGAGATTTGATTTGAAGGATTTAACTATTACCAAAGACATGACCTCTAATAGGAAAATATGGAGACTTAAGACCAGGGTAGCCGAGTAGTGCGGGTCACATGTATCATCTATGTCTTCTTTTAATGCCTTTGTAATAATTTTCATGACTTCTACTTTTTTAAGTTTCTGTCATTGGAATTTATGAAGGCTTAGAACTAGGGTAGCGTAGTAGTATTGCCTTAGTTTAGGTTTTAACACATTTGACTTTATTCCTTCTCGTTGCTTGCTACCGTTAACTTATGTGTATCATTCTCTTCTTGTTTCCTCTTTTTAAATTTAGTCGGGTCTTACGTTTCTGTCTATATGCAGAGCTTTTTAAGCAGAGATTTATTTGCAGGGATTACTTTCCATTACAGACGTGCATATGTAGACTGCATATGAAGATTGTTTAACTATGTATTTATTTATTTATACATGCATTGCATTTTATCTTTATTTTTAATTTTCTGATTACCGAGAGTCATCCACGGAAGCTGCCCTCAACCTGACGTTGGAGGCAACATACTAGGCTACTACCCTACCTCCTCCTTACCCCATACATATGGGAATAGGGTGTTGTTGTTGTTGTTTTATATATTTTTAAAGAAATTATAAAAATTCTTATTTTTTGTAATAATTACTTAAAAATATTAAAAGAATATTAAATGAGATTTTAGTTATAATTAAGGGGTTAAATAAGATATTTTATTATTATTTTAGTGCTACACCACCCTTAATAACCTTTAATCGTCGCTATCTATTGTTTAACAAAATCGAAAGTTTAATGTTTATTTTGTAACTTTTAAAAATTAAATAATAAATAAATAAATTTAAAAAAATATAAAACAATTTATGAATTTTACCATTTTAATGAATGCCATTCATGATAAACTTATCCGTTTTT